AATTACAGGTTTTCATTTAATTTGAATAATTTATTTTGTAAAAAACAGGTATCACTGAATGTGATGTATGGACAAGCAATATAATCGGCACACGTTTCATTGAGTTCCAGATTCTTTTTTCCACCCTTTTTGCTATCATAGTTGAATGATGGATAAAAGTACCAACAAAGCCAGGTTAGAATTATTTGAACACCAAAAATTTTCACGCCCGAGAAAAGAAAACTTGCATTGTTAAACGAAGTACAAATTTGATTTCATAGTATTCTAAACAAAATAGATTCTCACATCCACGGCATTAAACTACTAACACTACAAATACTACAAATATAATACTTGTTACAGGTGTATTACGTTATTTAGCACACATGTTTTCTAATGCATTATATATCTTTATTGAAATAAATATTCTACTTTTTGATACTCTGTATATTTTTCATGAATTGTACGGAAAGTTGTTATATGGCATTGAAGATTTTACTAGGTACTTTAACTTTTATATATTAAATGTTTATGGTTGTTTATCAGCGAGTTCCAATATAATGAACATGTGTGGATGGATAAGAAATGTTTTGATTTTTGCATGTCGAGAGTTCTGGACTGGAGGATGAATAATATGTCACCTTTTTCAGACCTCTTGTCAACGTAAATGGTTTCATTGGGATAATTTTTCTAACAAAGTATAATCCCATTTTCAGTTTGGATTACTGTGGATTCCTGAACTGATCTAACTATAAACTCTCGCTGATGAATTAGACAACGTCGTTTATCTAAAAGTAGTGAATAATTAAATCTAACCATAAATCGTTATCGCTTAACCAAAGAAAAAGTTGAAATGTAAAATATTAGAATAAGACGCATTCTTATAAATGCACCAATACAAGGCAATATTATGAAAATTCGTAGCGATTCGAAATTCGGGGATGTGACGACAGCATTGGGAATTCATACTTTCCGTTATCAGTGGTACCTAAACATTTCAAAAAATCCGTGCTATTCAGCGCTGGGCTCGAGAATCAAGAAAACTTGCGCTTTTCGAAATGAAGTCAAGAGAAGGTTAGATAGCAGCGCGTACATCTCTTGGATCCACTTCTATACGTAGCATTGTCAGTCTAGGCTTCGATAGATTCACTCGCTTAATTTGATTACCAGCCACAATCTTTTCTTATTTTTCAACCTAAAATAGTACAATATACAACTACTTTATAATGTTAAGCTTTTATTGCTTGAGTACATGTTTTGAAAACGAGCGACGATAGGAATATTTTCAAATTTCCACGAATGCAATTTAAGTTCACTTGTGACTGGATATATGTATTATGGCCACCAAGTACCCCTTAATAAAATTGGCTTGAAAATAGTACATACAGTCTCGTATAATTTGTAACGGTTACGTAAACCATTACTTTAGGTCTAATAAAGAAACAACCAATTTTCCTGGCAAAAAAAAATATTTTCCCGGACTGGAATTTCATCTTCGGTGCATATACTTTTATCGTCAGCGTTTGTAAGCTAAACTGATGCTCCCGACGCATCTAAATAAAAATGGAAATTGTGGAATTTTCGAAATTTCAAAGTTTTTATTGAAAACCAGACCTATTCTTAGTGAGCAACTTTGCTCCAATCAATCAATAAATTCAAAGAGCATAAGCTATGTTACTTCACTCAAAATTACGCAAAAGTATTGTAATACTTTCGATAAATTGTATATAACTTTATTTAAAGATTTAATTTTGAAGACGATTTCATTAACAAATAAATTGTCTATTTAAACAATTTAATTGTCGGGAGGAATCCAAAAGAAATTAAATCTTGTAGTTTTCAAATTTCAGAGGTTTTATGGAACTTTGGATTTACACCATTTCTCATATCTCTACTCGAACACAATATTCAAATAAACATTTGGAACCATTGTTGCTAAAATTCTGAAAATATCGTATGACATTCATGTAGCAGACACCCGTACCTTTACTATCTTATTAATAATTTTACCGTAGAAATCATCGACCTCCAATTTTTGCTTGGAGCAATTATTGCTAAAATTGTGAAAATCTCTAAGTACCGAAATCCCAAATCCGACGTATGTAGCGGATCCTAATACCTTTTTTGAGACACCATTCACCTCAAATATTTGCTTGGAGCCATTTTTGCTAAAATTCATAAAACGTCCAATGACGTTCATGTAGCAGACCTCCCATATCTTTTTCGAGAAATCATGGACCTCAAATTTTTGCTTGGAGCGATTTTTGCAGTTTAGAATACCTTCCCCCACCTCCGTACGTTTCCGAGACAACACGGACGTCTTTTTTAGTACCTTTACAGCGCTTTGCGTACAAAGAGAAAGCACAAATCAGCAAGGGGCGTTTGCTGTTTAGTATACCTTCCCCCCGCCTCCGTACGTTTCCGAGACAACACGGACGTCTTGTTTGTACCTTTACAGCGCTTTGCGTACAAAGAGAAAGCACAAATCAGCAAGGGGCGTTCGCTGTTTA